TACTAGCAGTGGTAGGTCCTACACATAAAACATGATCGCACTGGGTACACTAATTTCTCATATGATTGTAATGGAATGTTTTTGGTAGATTTTATTGGACAAAACAATATAGCTCAAGCTGCAATCATGTGGTGCGTCACGTACAGTAAATCGACACTGGTTAAATGTAACATTTGAAGCTATCAATGTAACTAAACTATAATTCTCACTGGTAGCCTTAGATGAAATTTTGCACAAATGGTACCATACGTTATTAAAATAAACATGTCTTTAATTAAGAATACAAAAAGATGTTTTAATTTTGAATATAGACCAGAAATTATCATCCCTTAAACATTTCAGATACTAAAGACAACTTGAAGAAATTTAAAAAAGGATCAATCTCTCGAAAGGAAGCTGTCATTCTACTTAAATGATCCACTTCCTTTTTGTGTAATCTTTAAGGTTCTGTAGGATGCTAAGTATATTTTAAGATCTAACAACATCAATTAAAAAAACTTCTCTGTTGTTAGAAGGAAATATTTTTTTTTATTTCAACATATTACTCTGTTTTACGTCTGTATATTAAAATGCATTGCTTTATATAAAAATAATCATGTTTCATTTTTCAGGTTAAAGTGGGGAATGGACATTTTTACAGTGATGATGCATCCACGGAATTTGATACCAAGTGTAAGTTTTTAAGGTTTTATGTGTTACATGTGTATCATCACTGATGATGTGTCCAAGTAGCACCAAGAGGTGTATTCCAGAGCTAGTCACTGCTTTACATGATACAAACATAAATGTGTGTTTACAGACTGCTATGCTGGCCATGCTGAACTGGTATAATGGTTAGAATGTTGTCACAGTTTTCCTATTTAATCAAAATTTAAGTGTATTTTTACTGATCAATGCTACAAATACTGCTGTCTGATTCATGTGCAGGTGAAATGGAATGGTGACATTGTGTTGATTTTGTTTTGTTTTTCAGATAACGATAAAGCTGTAGCTGGATTTCTGATATTCTTTCTCGTTCTTGTGTCTCTGGCCCTCCTGTTTGTTTTGTATAAAATCTATGTTCTTCAGAAGAGAAGCTCATAGTAAGTTCTGACACACACATTGTGCACTGTATTAACATGTAAAATAATGTATAGTACGGGCAAAACACAACATATTAGTTTTCATATTTGCTGTTGTGCTTTTGTATTTCCTGGCATGTTTTCTTATTTGCTGTTGTGTTTTGTGTTTGCTGATGTGTTTTCATATTTGCTGATGTGTTTTGCCCTCCAGGGCTTCCATTGTATACTGCAAAATAAAAGCAACTTTATTATTTTAGCAACATTTTAAAGTTGCTTCTTTAATCTTAATTTCAGTGATACATGCAATGCGGAGTTGAAAGTACTGGACAAGGGTAAGACATTTTTGGGATTATGTGATCAGGGGTGGACTTTATGGAAAGCAG